ATTTGCAGAGGTTTCAGCCATGGCAGTAAGCAGAAAACGTTTCATGGTCAACGGCTTAGGGGATATGAGGAAGGCGGTGGTTGGGAGAGGCCCAGATCATCTACAGTAATGACAACTTTTTTCATTTTATAAAATATTTATGTTTTATATTGATCCTAATTCCTAGAGTTGTATTTAATTTTCTGATTCTGATTATGGTGTTTCTGCATAGGATGCAAGGTCAGAGTTTGATGATGAACAAGTTGATCTTGCAATTGCACTATCTCTTGCTGAAGAAGAGCAGAAGGAAGTGGAAAAGGAAGATCCAGAGGAAGAACAAAGGGAAGAACAGAGTGAAGACCAAAATGAAGAGATGAAGGAAGACCAAAGGGAAAATATAAAGCAAGACCAGAAAGAAGAGGATAAGGGAAAAAGGGTAATTGGTAAGTTGCAGGAACCATTTTTCAATATTGAATTTTCTTGAAGCTGTTATGCTCCCTCATAGGTATGAAATTCTGAAAAGAGATATCCAAATATGCTATTATGTTGTGCACAAGTACTAGCAAGGAAATCTGCAGAAAGCATAGAAGATTTTGGGACAGCATAAAGTTCCATGTGTAAAAAATAAAGCAAGCTGAATGATTGGTCACAGTATATGACTAGTACTTTACCCTTTTAAGTAGGGACTATAGCACTATACTATGTGATAGTTCAATATTGGGTTGAGGTCACTCAAATGGAATATGAGACACTTGTTTATACATAAAGAATATTAGTCACTTAGATATATTGAATCCATAACTAGGCTCAACCTAAGGTCTTAGGGCCGGTTCATTTGGATTAAAATTTCCTGGTCTAAACTTTTTTAGTCCGTCTGTTGAAGTCTGGTCTAAATTAATCTACTCTGATCTGCTTTGATTTATATGTATATTATTGTTATGGAGTGCTAGTCTGATATAGGCTGGTTAAGTTTCGTTGGTAAAAGTCTGGTCTTGTCAATATCCGTGACCCAAGTAAGTTGATGTGAACAGGTCCTAATTAACCTATCATTCCATCTTTAATTTTCTTATGTGAGGTTTTAACACCGAACATTCTCCCTGGGATTGCATTTTTACGAATGTTGGGATTTGGGTAAAATAGAGGCTCTATTGAAAGAAAGTCACGTTTATAGCAGTAAAAATAGTATCCTTACTGATGCTATGAAAGAGACGATGTACAATAGTTATTTTTTTATTACTGATCTTGATGCTTTTAATGCTACAATACTCATTGGTGAATTTCTTCTTGTTTTCTATTAATGGGTTGAAGCCGAAACTAATATTGAGGAAGATGAACAGTTAGCAAGGGCACTTCAGGAGAGTATAGATATGGAGTCCCCACCAAGAAATAATGGTTATGGAAGTTTGTTTTCCCCATTTGCATTACTGTATCCACCTGTATATAGGATTTGTGCTGGTTGCAATGCGGAAATTGGTCATGGAAGATTTTTAAGTTGCATGGGAGCTGTGTGGCATCCTGAATGCTTCCAATGCAATGCTTGCAAACTTCCGATTTCTGACTATGAGGTTTGGTGCTTATAAATCCACCTTTACAAAATAGGAGTGTCTGTGTTTTATGCTAAAAAACTAACACCCATCAGCAGGGGTGTAGCCAGGACACTGGGCTAGACTGGGCCGGTACAAAGAATATTATTGGAAAAAAATTTATACGAAATTTTTTACACTAAAAATATTGACATTTTTCAGATTTGGGGTGGGCCAGGGCCTAGCCTGGACACCCCCTAGCTCCGCCCCTGCCCATCAGCCTTAACAAAGTAATTAATAGTTCTTTTAGAAGTGGGTAAATCCTATTTTCGTGAAAGAACAATGATCCTCCTCTTTGAAGAAATATCTGTTATGTATTAGTTCTATTTTTGGAGAAAGAACAATGATCCACAATCTGTCGTTATGATTTTAACTATTCTCTCTCTTTCATCTTTGCATGTAGTTTTCAGTGTCTGAAAATCGTCCATTCCACAAGTCCTGCTACAAGGAACAGCATCACCCAAAATGTGATGTTTGCAAAAACTTTGTAAGCATCTATTTACGGAGCTGTTGGATTTTTAATAAGAGCAGTGCTGCAAGACATACATGATGATTTATATATTTATATCTTTGTTCAATTTGAGATATATCTCTTCATATGAATCCCACGTGTGCCTAACACACTCTTATTATCTCTGGTCCAAATGTGTTTCCAGATCCCTACAAATGCAGCCGGTCTTATAGAATATAGAGCACATCCTTTCTGGCTTCAAAAGTACTGCCCCTCGCATGAAAATGACAGGACACCTCGCTGCTGCAGCTGTGAGAGAATGGAGGTGTGTTGATGTTTTTGAATGGATTTCTAAGAATAAATATGGTATCACCATGATGTGGGTCATATAAAACAATTACACTGTCAAGATGATGTATTCAAACTTTGAAGAATTTGCTGGTTACTTACAAATTAATGAACTAACATAAGACATTTGGGTATTCTTCTTATAAAACATTCAAGTATTTCAAAAGTGCAATACCTGATTTTATGCTTAAAAATCCAAACATTCTTTGTTTATGCAGCAAGTAGACACCAGATATTTGATACTTGATGACGGGAGGAAACTATGTCTGGAGTGTCTTGATTCTGCAATAATGGATACTCATGAATGCCAGCCTTTGTATCTTGAAATTCGAGATTTCTATGAAGGTCTAAATATGAAAGTAGAGCAGCAAATTCCATTACTCTTAGTTGAGAGGCAAGCATTGAATGAAGCCCTGGAAGGAGAAAAGAATGTGAGGCAGCTGATACATCTTTTAATCTTGTTTTTTACTGTTCGGAAACTAAGATTAGAATCATTAAATATCCCTTCGTTGTCAGGGCCATCATCACATGGCTGAAACAAGAGGGCTTTGCTTGTCAGAAGAACAGACAGTCAGCACAGTATGACTCTCTCTCAGTGACCAATTAAATTAAACCTGAAATCTACCTACTTGACTTGTGTCATTTACTAGAAACAAATTTCAGATTTTAAAGCGGCCAAGAATCGGTGGTTATAGGATCACAGATATGTTCACAGAACCATACAGGCTAATTCGGAGATGTGAAGTCACAGCAATCCTCATCTTATATGGTCTTCCGAGGCAAGCACTACTACTTTCTGTTAAGTCATCCAATACTTGTCAAATATAAAGATTGAACTCAAGTACTTCTAGATTTAATCTTATATTAAAGATAATTACACTCAAATAAGCTATTGATCAGGATAAGTACACAAATTTTAAGATTGGTCTCTCAAATGATCCACCATCAGATAAGGCATGTGAAGTAGCCTTGCCCAAAATAAAGATATAACATTAGAACTGCATGAGACTTTGGACTACTCCACTTATGAGGTCAAACATTAGAACAGAAGACTTAATATTAACTTCATCTCTCAAATAAGCTGATGTTAAAATGTTGATGTTGATTGCCTGTTCAGATTGCTGACTGGTTCAATCTTGGCTCATGAAATGATGCATGCATATCTGCGGCTTAAAGGTTCCTCTCGTTCACTCAAAATTGAAAATGTGTTTCATTTTCTTTTCTCTCTTTCTTATTATTGGGGGTCAAAGGGAGCTGACAAAACTGCATTGCCACATAGGACTAACCGCACCACTCTGACATACTAAATGGGGTTCTTACAATTACTTTGAAAATTGAAATGCAATATTCTAAGCTAATGTTACAAGCATATTCAGGTTATCCCAATCTAAGCCCAGAAGTGGAAGAAGGCATATGTCAAGTCTTAGCTCACATGTGGTTGGACTCTGAAATCTTAGCCGGTTCTGCTAGTAACACTGCATCTACTTCTTCTTCATCCTCATCTTCTTCGACCACTTCACCTTCATCATCATTGTCATCATCGTCATCCACCTCTTCAAAAAAGGGTAACCGTTCACAGTTTGAGAAGAGTGTGGGGGAGTTTTTCAAGCACCAGATCGAATCAGATACTTCTGCAGCTTATGGGGATGGATTCAGAGAAGGAAACAAGGCAGTGCTCAAGTATGGGTTGAAGAGTACACTTGACCATATTCGGCTTACTGGAAACTTTCCTTGCTAAGAGGTTTCCGAATTCCAGAATGCAGAGTTCATTCAGTACATACTTGTACATGCATCAATTTACCCTTTGCTGGCACACCAGATCAGCTTTATAGGATTAAATACATAGGAATCAAAATGTAATGAATCCCCATAAAAACATGTTATAGAGTGCAGTATATTGTGATAATAATAATGATCATGATAATTTGAGCAGTTAATGACTTAATGCTTTACTACATTTCTGATTATATATCAGGGTTGCATAACATAGTTGCTGACTTGCTGTAGTACACATCAGTTTGGAATGTCTAAAATTTTGTCAAGTATTGGTTTTTTATGTAAAACAATCTGAAAATATTGTGACCTCTTACTAACGTGTAACTATTGTAAATAAATTCCCAAAAAAATCTTAAAGATAGTATCTCTGAATTACATGCAGGGTGGACCTGGGCCATTTCCAGTCCAACTCCAGTCCAGTGTTAGGGTAATAGGGGAATCAAAACCTTATCTGGACAAATAAGTTCTGGTTTGGTTCTGGACAAATTAGGACTGGTAAACATAGACTAAAAATAAAATAAAATAAAAAAGCCCCCTTAGCCTCCCTAATTTGCCAAACATCAAACACATAGTTCCAATTTGCCAAAGTAAGTGAAATTCCGTTTAAATTCCACTGTTTCTCTATCTTGTTTTTTTCATTGTCAAGTGTTGGAGTCCCAAGTTAGAAATGTAAATAGAATAAGGCGGGCTTCGAGTCCATGGACTGAGTGACCGACCGGCGACCGCTAGGTAATATTTGTCTGGCGGGCTGATGTACTTGGCCACAAGCCACACTGAACCAAATTGCACCGATACTGAGATAGAGTAAAAGAATTGGATTAGGTCACTCAACCAGAAGAAACCCGAGCCAAACAACACTAAAAGATTGAATCGATCTATTAACATGTTCAACCCAGTCTTATGAACTCGCTGTTTTTTATTCACTTGCTTGTTGTAATATTCTAACAAAATAGATACCTTACAATGTAATCACTGTGGAGGAAAGAATCTTCTATTGCTTACAAAATAAAATTACACTATAATCAAACTTACTCAACTACAAAAAAAGTAAACCACTACAGCTAAATCTTCACCTTAGAGGTTTCTCTTTTTCTCACTCTTTGTTCTTAGTGTGCATCTTTATAGGTTGAACACTACACAGAATGTGAACTATATTTCACCAAAACTGGAGGCTCTTCAATTCCCACACACGAATAATTGTAATATCTTGCTGTCCATGTTTGAGGATAGAAATTTCTTCCTCAATGCTGATAGGCACTATTCAATGCATAGAACGCTTTGAGAATCACCTGTTTAGACTGATAGAAGAACCATATCACATCTAGGGGCATGCACGGATCTATGAATCTGGGAGGAATGAATATACATAACCAGTGAAATAGAGAATAAGGTCTTCTTATACCACCACCAAATAGGTAAAGATTATTAAGTGGTTGAGGACAACTCCCAAGAGATTGTAGCGCTTATTGCTTTAGAAAAGTGCTGGACAATCTCATCCATATTGGGCCGACTCGATGCATCTTTCTGCAAGCAACTACCAATCAATCTCACCAATGAAACACCAACATCTGCCAGATACTCCCTTGGTTCGAGACTAGGATCCATGAAACTGATCAAATGCTCCTTCCCAGTTTCCTTTTGAACCATAGGGAGTAGAAGTTCCGAAATGGGATGCATCTTGTCATGACCTTCTAGCAACGTGGCAATGTCCTTCCCAGTGAGTATCTCTAGCATAAGAATCCCGAAGGCATACACGTCTAGCTTCGGGGAAACCAAACCATGCTCCAAATACTCTGGCGCCATGTACCCTTTCGTCCCGACTATGTGCCTTGTCAATGCGAACTCGCCTTCTTGTCCGTCTGCTGACCTGGACAGACCAAAATTCGTTATTTTAGCTCTCATGTTGCGGTCAAGAAGAATGTTACCACTCTCTAAGTCCTTGTGAACATGTGGAGGGGAAGTGTAGCTGTGTAGGTAGTTAAGCCCCGTCGCCACATCAAGTCCGATTTGGATCCTCTGTGTCCACGTCAGGAAAGACTTTCCACGTAAATAATCACTCAATGCCCCGCTTTCAGCGTATTCAAAGACGAGGTACCAGTCTCCATCGTTGAAGCAGATGCCGGAGAGGCTTATGAGATTAAAATGGTTGATTTTGCTCAACAGATTAATTTCCTTCGACACGTCTCCATTCATCTTCTTGATAGCCGCGAAGTCTCCATTGATTTTGCCACGATACACCGATCCACGAATCCAGCAGTTAGGGCTAAAGTTTTCGGTAGCCAATTTCAGCTCTTCGAAGGTGTAGATCTTAACAGATTGTACTAATTCAAATACACTTGAATAAGACAAATCCGAACCCCCTTCCGATTTCTTCGTCAATGGCTTCTCATCTGCAGCGAAGTCGGCAGAGACCAGCTCTGGATCAGTTTTTCGTTTCCTTTTTCTTATGCAGAACATGAAAACAATCCCGCCTGCAAGTAATAAACACAAAATTCCTCCTAGAACACCCGCTATTACATATATCCAGGTCTTGCTTGAGCTTTTTTTACTTGGTGAAGGACCGAGTAGTGGCGGCGAGGGTGGCGGAGGCGGAGGAGACGGCTGTTCCACGACCTGGTTACTTGATGGTTTGTTCTGAAGAGGAACAAGCAGAGTCGTGTTTGGGTATATGGTTGAATCATCAATAGATAGCCCATTCGCTTCTAGGGTTTTCTCTGTCTCAACCCCAAACTTTTGACTGATTATAGAAACAGACTGACCAGATAAAATCACATAACTCAACAAATACTTAACGCCATTATCACTCTGGTTCTTCGTCGGACAAGCACACCTTACAGGAACCGAAAGCCTAGTACCAGAGAATAACAAAGTTGGGACTATCTTACTGTTTTGAGACAGGAGAGCAAGACAGGAAGACAAACCTTGTACAGGGTCATTCGAGATTCCTATAAAGGTATCTCCATGCCTGGAAGTGTATGATCCATTGGCCTGGTAGAACCGACCGGAGCAAGAACAGGTGACGGGGACGAGGACGACCCTGTTTGTCCGAAAGGTTGAATTTTGAGGAACAGAGTTGATTTGGGCGAGCTCTGACGGGTCAGCTCCAACCAGGCCGGAGATGGAGGAGACGGAGTCGAACGGCGGCTGAGATACGATTGTCAGATAAGCCTGGCAGCTCCGGCTAACGCCGTTGCAGATGTACCCAAAGGCGGAAGTAGAGTTATCGGAGGTATTGCTTGAGCGGCCGTCGCAACTGGTGTCCTTCCGGATATACGGCTGCTGAGCTTGAACCAACAGGGAGCTGGAAATCAGGAGAGTACAGAGACAGATCAAGTGTGAACTGCTCATTTCTATTTGCTGTTCCGGAAGAAGATGAAGAATGAATAGCTAAAATATGTAACAGATTACAGAGCGGCGGCTCTTATGGCGAATCCTACGAGTATTCAATTTGGTTACTTGACCCGTGGCTGTTGACTTTTACCAAATACCGTGTCTGCAAGACCTGTCAGTACTGGCAGTGTTGCTTCGTTGACAATGTTATCTTTTTATTTAAGATGAAAAGTGAATTTAAAAAAAACAATAAAAGGTTTTTTTTATAGTTGTTCGCTTGACTATTTTCCATTTTATTTGAGATTAATATAAGAGTGAATTTACAAAATAGGAGTAAAAGATGAGGTAAAAGCAAAAACGGGATTTATTGTTTTAAATTTCTTTAATAGGACTAAATATTTGTGTCTTGACAAAAATAGCCTTAATGAATTGTCGTAACATCATTAGCGCATTGCAGCCAACATCCAAGTCGATATGTGCTAAAATAATCAAATCTGTTGTAACATCATCGGCACATCGTAACCATCCTCCAGCAAGTCTGTTGTGCACATCTGCCACCCTAAGTTGAGTTCATTGCTGCCATCCTCGGATGAAGCTGCCACCATCCTCTGGTGAAGCCGCATCCCTCCAAGAAGTCATTGTAAGGCTTGAGAGAGAATGTCATCTTCATAAGAGTAATGATATAAAAATGACATTTTGCTATAAAAAATATGACATTCTCAAGTGTTAAAGTATAAAATTTTAGAAAAGAAATTATGTAATTTTTTAGATGAAAAATACTGACATCATTTGGAAAACATGTAAAAAAAACTTGTCATTTCTAATAACAAATAGTTATGTCATTCTCAAATAGGCCATAAAAATGCCATAAAATGTCATAAGAATGACATTTTCTTATGGATGTATGACAGTTTCATATTGTCATCCTGATAAAAAAATACTGCCACAAACATGCCAGTTTTTTCAAATAACCAATAATTTTGACATTCTCAGGTCAGAAAAGTGACATTTCTCAAATCAACATAAAAACCATAATTAAATAATTTGAATGTTTTGAAAATAAATTAATCATAATTAATATAAAATTGAAAATCAAATTAAGAGAATAAAAAACAGAGGAGGTGTGAGCACGTCAAGATGAAAAGTGCCCAAAAAGAAAATAGAAGAAGAAGAAGAAAGAAGAGAAGAAGAATAAGGAAGAGGAGGAAGAGAAAGAAAAGGGAAGGAGGGTTACTTGACTTCATCGAAGGAATTGCAGATGCGAAGTGTGATTCCGTAGGAGGAATTGAATAGCTATCGCCGGAAAATGCATATGCCGTCAACTAGTCAAGTGTGGTTGGGTAGCAGTCCGTCTGTGATGGGGGAGAAGGAGATCGCAGCTCCCAAATCGGAAGATGCGGTAGCGTAGATCTAAAGAATAATAAACTTATACTCCTATTTTTGAGTTTTGCTAATGTTTTAGTCTCATTTAGGACAATATCTTTTAATATAATTGTTAAATATAATTGTTTTGAAAAAAATCAAGAATACTCCGGTCTACGTATCAAACATGGCTCCAAACTTGGCAGTAATTATTCATAGTTTCGGAATAAAAATATGACAACCCAATTTTGGAATTTTCAATTTTTTTACCGTGCAGAAGAATGGGATTGGATTACAACCGAAACGTATAGAGAGGAGAGCTCTCGCTTCTCTCTAAAACCTAGCGGCCATCTCCCATCATTGTAGGGGTTGAGATTTTCCGCCGCCTCATCAATATGAGGTTGGAGCAGTAGATTATTCTGATTTTAAGTGTTCTGATGTTTGGGATTGCAACTATGTCAGAGGAGATAACATTGCTGGATGAACAGATTGCAGATGAGATTTTGTATCGGTGTTGTATCATGAAGTCTTGGTTGGCCGCTTCGACGATGATTGAGTTTGTATTCATACATATTGCAATAGCTCGTCCTCCTGCAGAACCACCTCCATACCAGGAAAAGTTTTGCGGAAAGATTTTATTGCAATATTATTTTCTCTTTAGTAGTGCTCAGGGGTGGAGACAGGGAGGGGCTGGAGGTGGCCACGGCCCCTGCAAGAAAAAAAAAAATCTTAAGTATATATGTTATGTATAAATACTTTTAATCTGTAGAAAGTATGTTGATATTTTAAACTTTGGCCCCTTCAATATAAAATTCTTAAGGACCGGCCCCTTTAACCATAAATGTCTGGCTCCGCCACTGGTAGTGCTAGTTTTAGTTTTAGTCAGAGTGGATTTGGTTTGAATGTTTGGATTTTCGGAGTTATTTTGATAGGCATGGTTTCAGATCTGTTCGTTTTAGGTTTAAATTTGCCCGTTGTAGGTTTAGCGAGTCAGGTTGCTTTGTATGAGGTGACAGATTCTATGTCTACTCCTAGGGTTTACGATTGAATCTGTAAAATCTAATCTGAAGATTGTCTTGAGTCAGGTTGCTTTGTTCTTGATTTTAATATAAAGCCTCCTATTTTACGATGAAAAACAAATTTTATCGTGCGGGAATTTCCTTAACATGTTGATAAGATGAATTACTCACATATCGAGAAGTGCTTTATAGGCTATCTTTGGTACATTTTAGCAGGGCCGTCTAATGAATTTGGAGACCCCGGTTCTAAGTGTAAAACCGAGGCCCCAAATTAATATAAATTCTTTTAAAAAATATCAATCCAAATACTTATACTCAATTCAATTGAATACTCATTAAAAAAAACTAAAAGAGTAAAAGGACCAACAAAAAAATCTTGTATTTTTATTTTTCTTCCTTACTAATTGTATTTTATTGATAGTATTAATATATAATATTACCCCGTACTATATAATACTAAAAGGAACTTAAAATTTTGGGGCCCCATAAATTCGGGGGCCCTGTTCTGGATAACCTATTGAACCCCCTAAAAAACGGCCCTGCATTTTAGGACATGTGTAAACCGTAAAGCACCATCATACATACATGTACTTGTCAAGTTTTTAACATTAAAATTTTTTAATGTGAAAACTTGAAAAATAAAATCTTCCAAACCCAGCAACACATCATGTCGATCTTCAACATTTTGTAAATGTTTTGGATTTCACCTACCCGGTAAATCACTCTATATAAATAGAAAAAACATATTAATACAGCTCATTTTCATTGAGATTTTAGGACTTTTAGTAGAAGGGCAGAAAGATTCAATCATTCAATAAAAAAAAGGATGACACCCCATCCTTGAGGGCCCCCCAACACCGACCGGACGGCACGATGGGAGGATGTAAATTGGACTATAATCATTCAATAAAATAAATATAGGAGGTTTCGACTTCAACCAACAAATGTGCTGAATCTCCCCAGCCAGACGTGAGACGCCCCCACACTCATGAAGGACAAAATGGTGAAAAATAAATCATCAAATGATCTAAAACAATTTCTAACTTAGGGTCTCGTGTGCACAAAGAGCCACTACATTGGATGAAACTCTTCTCACACTATCACTATTATTAGAAATTGAAGTCGAGACCTCAACCAACTGTCTCACACGACCATCGTTGAACTACTTGTGCGAGTGAGATGTTTCGACTTCGACATAAATGGTGGGTGATGATTTTATGACGTGGTAGAATCGTTGGCGTGTCCTCTACCCATGACAAATTAATTTACTGACTCAACATGCTAATCTGTCTTTTGAGATTTAGAAGGTGATCTTCCCAGTGCTTACATTTATTTTTAATTGCTCAGCATTGCCGGAAAAAATCTCATACTTTCCCGCTTCGTAAATCGCAAAGTTAAGATATACACTAAGAAATTAATATAAACATGAGAGCACATGATTTAAATTCTCCAATATGGAGATTCTTCCACTATACAAAAGAATAGTATGATTTTTTTAATGAACGAAAGTTTTATTAATGCAAAAATAAAAAATGAGAGTACAAGAAAGAAAGCCGAAAAAAGGATCTTACCTAAAAGCCAACCCGAATTACAACATATGAAAAGCTCCCTAAAAAGCATAGCTCCCTAAAATATCATAGCTCCGTCAATATTGCCGAGCTCCATGCGTGACTGCGATCTCGTTCTCATGAGATGGGACCGATCATTTCCATGAGAGTGATCCTCACCCAACCTGAGAAGATCCATCTCAAAGTTAGAATCAAATTTACTTGGATCCCTCGAGCCCGTGGAGTTGCCAAAGACGTATTTGTTGATGTAAAATCTTTCATCAAATTAAAAGCTTTTGTAATCCCTGCCAGAAACTGTTTAATTCCCATTCCATTTCGTCCTTCAGGAATAAATAACGATTCGCCACCCTTTTTGATAAGGCGAAAGAAGCCGCCAAAGAAGTTGACATCATACAAAAGGAGCAGACAACTTTCCATCTCAAGCTTATTACATGACCAAGTATCAAAGAGAAGTTTGGGAATGCTGCTTATCAATGATGTTACAAAATTATTTCACTCAACGGTGGTTCACTCAAGCTTGAAGATAAGAACTTCACAAGCTAACTTTCTTCTCTCTCAGAAAGGTTCTATAACTCTCTAGCTTTCTCTTGCTAGGATGAATAGGAATGGAGGCTCTTACTCCTATTTATACTACCCCACCTCCATAATGAGTGGTGGAGATGGTTCTCTAGAATGATCTACACATGACTACTTATTCTAGAGAATTCCAAGGAATCTCTACACCTCTTCATTCCCTTCTATATATTTCCATACTCTTCCATAAGGTTCCAGAAAGCTCCCCACATCTCCATAATATTCCAGAGGATTCCACACAATTCCACAAGTTTTTAGAGAGTTCTAGACTTTTCTAAGATTCTCCGGAACGTTCTAGAAAATTTTACACTTCTATAGAAAGCTATAGAATTTTTTAGAACCTCTTCAATTAAGGAGGGATCCAACAAGAATCACATACATGACCGAAGCAAGTACATATTGCTTAGTATACTAATTTTTTGTCATCTTTCTGTTATTTTTAACAATAAAGTTATGTATAGTAACAAAAGTAGGAATTTGAATAAAAAATGTGCTAAACAAACAAATTGATGGTACAAAATTGCGAGAAAAATTGAATTGACTCGGAGTCCATTTGGTAACACTAAAATCGGCTAAATTGGCTGATTTTGCTGAAATTTATGAAGTTCTAGATGAAGTGGTTGTATTGGCTGATTCTGTTGATTCATGAAAAAATTATATTTAAAATATTTGTTATACTCCCTCCGTCCCGCAAAATAGTTCCCGGTTTCTTTTTTGGGCCGTCCCAAAAAATAGTTCCTCTTTCCGCTTTTGGAAAGTTTTGTGTGACTCACATTCATTTATCTTTTTCTTACACAACCACAACCATACATTTCTATTTTATTCCCAGTTTCTTAAACTCCGATCCAAGTCAATGCGGGAGCTATTTTATGGGATGAAGGGAGTAATAAATAAAATAAAAACTTATATGAAAAAATAACTAAAATGATCATCTACATTAACTTCAGCCAATACAACCAGAAAAATAACTCCATCTTTACCTTTTCTGCTTATTACATAATTCAGCGTGCGAAATTAAAAGTTACGTGCAGTTGGAAACATGTGTTAAAATTGCATTAAATGATAATTTTGGGGCAATTTTTTTGAGTGGGGTCCACTTCTGATTAGGGTCGGGCCAAAGTGGTTTCAGATTGTTCTTGCTATGGGCTACAATTCGATATATGGCACACTCAAAACGGCTTACGGGTGGATGAGAAATTGATTCTCGAAATTTGTTCGTTGGAATGGAAAAACTGGGAAAAAGGATGAGTTTCTAGTGTGCTATTTCCCACACCAGAAAACTCAAGGGAATTTGAACCCCTTATAAAGGGAAACCCCCCTTAAGGAGTTAAGATTCCTTAGGGTAAAGGCTCTCTTTCGCGCGCAGGGGGGGTGCGAATCAGATCCCGAAACGGAGAAGAAAAACCGCGACTTGCGAGCGCGGGCGACCTACGGACACGAATGTCGTCTAAAAATCTATCTCTCAAGAGATACAGTTTATTTTTGTTTCTTCCTGTAATGTTTCTTTTTTCCCAATTGTGTGCTGTTCTGATCGCTCCAGAACAGAAGACGTATGGGCTCTTCTACTCGTTGGCCTTCTGTCCGAAAACAGAAGACATCGGGTCTTCTGTCCATTGTGGCAACATAAGGCGTTCTGGTCTTCTGTCTGTTGTGGCAACATAAGGCGTCCTGGTCTTCTGTCTGATCGCGTACTGAACCGTTACAGCAATAAATGCCAAACGTTCTTATCTTTTAATGAAGCGTTCAATGGATAGTTCATGGACGATTCAATGTCCAATGGACTGGTCATTGATGTCCAACGTTCATGTCCATTAATTCACCATTTACACACAACAAATCCTCTTACATAATGGTTGACAGGTGGTTTGCAGCAACACACGTTTTTACACATTCCTCACGTATTTCTGAGCTCTAAAACACCTTCAGCATTCCGAAAATATTCTCAGTGTTCGACTGTGTTTCTGTTTGCTGGAACTTTCATTTGTGTGCTCAAACATTAATTCGTAGTCATCGTATCCTATGAAACGGTCGTTGCAACGCTCCTAGCACCGTGAGAGGCGACGAATACATTTTAAGGATATCGTGCGTAGCACGAGTTTTGACTAATTTCTGCTTCATCTTATTTATGTTTTTCTTTCGTCATTTTAATTAATTTATTTTAATTAATTTTCTTTATTTTTTGAAACACACCCAACACGTGCTCGATAAAAAATTGGCTGATAAATCGCATAAGTCGAAAAAGGGGTGGGCTTTAAGTACACTTATTATTAAATTGTTTGTAAATAAGTTGATTGATAATTACATTTATTTGAAAAGTAGCGGTCCAACCGTCCAACTAAGAGATGAAGGGAGACAAGATTTATGATGTGCCCTCATTGTTTGGCACGTCACTGATTTGCATAGTACTCCGTATATAAAATTGACATGATTGGTATATGCCACTTTGTATTGTGAATATCCCTGTCTGTGATAATGATTTTTTGTAAAATATAAGGAGTAAACAAAAAGACATTATTGGTGTAGTAAAAAAGAAAGCTATAGTAAAAATTAAAATACAACTCAAAAAAGAAAATGTAACAAACATATTTCAATACCAAGGAATTAGATAGTAAAAATAAAAATAAAAAACGTGATATTATTCAGGTTAAAAACATGGCTCTTTCCAGAGCCCCACATTTTTAAGAATTTAATAACACCGCCGCCACCACACCACTCATGCTCTCTTCTATCACTAGATCTCTTCAACTCAGTGAAGCGCATTCTACTGCATGAACCCCAATACCCTCAGACCCCAAAGTACATAGACCCATATCATGGAAAGGTGGCTGCTTTCGCCAGTAGCGGCGGCGCACTGTGTGAAAGAGGAGAAAGCATGCGTGGGGTGGGTGTATGAGCATTTGGGTGACTGTCTTTGCAACTTTAGAGACGAGCTTTCCTTCGGATTGGGTGTGGTGAGCTTCCTCTTCTGGGGCGTCGCTGAAATCCCTCAGATTGTCACCAACTTTAAGACCAAGTCCAGCCATGGCATCTCCCTTCTTTTTCTCCTCACTTGGATTACAGGGTATTTCTTCCTTCTTTCCCCCCTTCTTCCAATTCTCCTTATATATGTACCCTTGTTATATTGCTTAGTTACATGTTTTTGTATGTTTTGATACAGTGACATATTCAATTTCGTAGGCTGTCTTCTTGAGCCTGCAACGGTATGTTTATCTGCATGTTTGAGATATGTTTCAAAGCTAGTTACTCCCTCCGTCCCTCTTTTATCTCCTCATTTGACCGGACAAGTAAATTAAGATAGTGGGATTTGTGTGGTGGAGAGTTGTGTGTAAGAATGATTTTGAACCACAAATTCTTTGCTGGGAAAGTGAATTTTGGAACGTACGAAAAAGGAAAGTTTGAAGATAGTTCAGGGACGGAGGGAGTAACAGTTTTATGGGTTTGCGGTTTTCACCAGACTTTTTTATAGAATGTGTGTCCTGCTTTCCAAATCATTAAAAGAAATCGCCCTATTAGGAGTACAGAACAAGTTGGTTTCCTTGTACTGTATTTTTACAAATTAGGAATAATTACTTTCCGGAAACAGTCTCTCCCTGCTTTAGTACGGGGTAAGGCTGCGTACATCCGACCCTCCTTTACCCCACCGTAGGTGGCAGACTTTGTGGCACTAGGGTAATCATGATGATGAGGAATAATTACTTTAATCTTGAAGCCATATTGACAGATTATACTGTCTTATTAATGTCTATGGGAGTATGATTTCAAGATTTCCATACTCAACTCCTTTTTCGAGAAAAAATATAATACTCTAATTCAGGGAAAACACCTTATGTTTACTCCTATTTTGGGATTTCTTATCATTAATACTTGCACTCTAAATATTGAAGTTTATCCCTCACTTCTTCCAAATTGAAGTTTTGAGCCCCTTTTAACAGACTTTTCGAAATCTGGGTGCAAATATTAATGATTTTGAAGATGAGGTACAAACTCAAATTGAAAAGAAATGAAGGATGCAAAATCCAATTTTTCCTTTTATTTGGAGTAGGGTAGGTATAAATTTTTAGGGTGCAGCCCACATCAAACATTCAAGGGACATGAATATAAGTGTCCAGCTAACTTCATTCATATGGACCAAGCAGTGGAAATAGACAAGTGTACTTTAATGAACGTATTGATGCATGGATTTATGCATTATGCATATGCTCTTAAACAAAATAATTTAGTCTGTTATTTTTATTGAAAATGACTTTGTTTTGATGTACTAAAAAATTATACCCCATGTCTCAAGAGAATAATAGTACAATTTATGGTTTTGGGGAAATAAGTTTGTTAAAAGGAGCATTCTATGCCTTTAAAATGGTGGTAGATGATGGTGACTAGCATTTTTCTCTGACATGCTCTTCATACTTTCTGCATGCAGTTGCCAACCCAATTGTATACTGCTCTGGTAATTGTCGATGTTCCCAACTCCTAATTCAAATCAGAAGTGCATCACAATGTTAATCTGGTTATCATTTTTAGCAGCTCTATACAGTTACTACTGTGATACTTGTGCTCCAAAGCTTGTACTATGATTATCTGTACAATTGCTTGAAACACAAGGATGTCATTTCAAACCAACAGGTAAGATTGGAAAATTGGTTCTATCCTTTGTATGCATTATTCCTTATCTTTAGCTGAAGATGTTGCCTGGTTCTTGGATTAATAGATTGCTGATGTGAAGAAGCCTCTTATGCCGCAAAAATCTGGTGTCTCGGGCATTGCGATACCTAGTGGCACTGGCAGAGCATCACACAGGGTTGAGTATTACTACATGTGAGGATATGCTCTCCTTTCTTGCCAATGATTTGGTTGCAATAGCAATGGCCTTTCTGGTTTTAATGCTACCTAAATTATGGTTATTTTATTATCATTTATTATTAACAATAGTATATTAATTATAAATATTGTTATTGTTATTCTCATTATATCTATGCAGGTCTGCACGATCATTGGCAGGCAGTGCAACTCCTCCGTTTAGGAGTAATTTATGGCCTGTTAGAAGTGGACCTCCGGCTCTGGATACTGAAAATGATGTCCCTTCGGATGATGAAAATGCGGAGGCAGCATCCAAGAATTCAGTTACCCGTGCTAAGGCTATTCCACGATCTGTAAGTGCCACCTCTTCTCTCTGCAGTTATGTTATTGCAGTGAGTTTGATTTAGAGGGGACAGGAAATTCCAACAATCTATAATATGAGTATTGTAGATATTCAGTGGTGTCAAGCAGTTAAAGTATGTGTCATTATGAAAAAGTATTGTGTAATCGAGATGACGTGTGAACGTGTCGGACGGTAGAAGATGTTTAAAGGTTTTTGTTGTATATTGGCTAAATCTGAAATAACAAATCCAAATATAATAAACTTTTAGGATGAAACCCCAAAACGTTATAATAATAAGCCAGATTGGTTGTGTTCACTGTTCAAGTTGAGAAAACATACGCGGGCAAGAGAAGTCTAGGTCTTAGACTGGGGTTTTTTATTAAGGAGGGTTTAACTCACCTTATTGAAGAATATATCTGTTACAGGCAGGTTATGGTGCATTTTTGGCTACCTCAGTTAATATACCTCACCAAGCTAAGGCCTTAATGTCTACATATGTTGCTTTCGGTGGAAGGAAATTACTGCAGGCATGAACTCATTGAACCCGAATTCATTTGTTCACTGAAAAGTTCAACTAGCATCTTCAACTTTAGTTTTAGCTTATCGTCATGTCAACGTATTTTTTTCTTTTTAGGGAAATGACGCAGATCACAGTGCTACTGGAGAGTGGTTGGGATGGATGATGGCTGCTATCTATATGAGTGGCAGAATCCCACAGATATGGCTAAATGTAAGCGCTAACGATCAATACCTTTAAAGCACTTGGTGCTTGTTTAGTCGCAATATGCATGGTATATGTAGATTTAGGCAGAGTCAAAGTGGGGGAAAAACCTAAGCATCCAAAGAGGGTCTGCCGGTCTGGTTCTTAGGCAGTGATTAGTTGCGGCTAAACAAAAGTTTATGCCGAGTGTAATCATGGCTAGCAAACAGCAAACCAAAGTGGTTGCCTATGAAAAACAAAGTTGGGTTTTTCCCTATAGTAATATTACTAATGCAAAGCTATTGGACAAAAATATGGCTACATAGGACTTGGAGTCACTGAAAAACATCATGGTCACTGTATAGTAAAACAGAAAATCATCATGCTCACTACGGTCACTGCAAAAACACTACCATGACCACTGCATAGTAAAACTCACATTTTTGTACATTAATTTTGTATGTTATATACTCATATATGTGTCATTATTTCTTGTTCTTTTGACAAATTGCTTTACCTTCACCAATGTAATTTCCTTGTTCTAACAGATAAGAAGAGGGAGCGCGGAGGTAATGCCCTAAAAATACTCTAAAGCCAAACTGTTGTGCTTGTGACTTCTGGATCACACAGCAAAAGTGTCTTGCATCATGCAGGGATTGAACCCATTTATGTTTATCTTTGCACTTGTTGCAAATGCCACTTATGTGGGAAGGTAAGCTCACATTCCGTGCTCACTGTCCAAAACTGCCATTTTTGCCGCTCTCCATTCTCTCATCCAAATTACTTGATGCAGCATTGTTGTGAGAACAACGGAGTGGGATAAGATTAAACCCAACTTGCCGTGGTTGTTTGATGCTGCTGGCTGTGTCATGCTTGACTCATTTGTATCCTTTATCTCCTAGTAGATCTGTTTTTTTGTTTTCGTTGGAGCGTAGAAAAGGGTGAAGGTATACAAGATACTAAACTGTTCAGCCACCATCATCTGTTCAACCTTAACTGCACTGACAGATCATATCACAATACATTTACTACAGGTATTTCAAAAAGATGGCCTCTGTAGAAGAGAAATGATATGGAGATTACACTGAAGAAGTGAAGTGAGAAAATAGTGAAGATGTTATTTATTCTAATCTAAGTTGAATTTATATACTAGGCTCCAAGTTATGCTGATTAACATGTGTTTTGCACTCTTTTTCTCACTTGTTAGACAAATTGTTGGAAGAGTTTCCGATGAACATACAAATGCACACTGTGAGGTTGCGTAGTGTTAGACTGTTTGCCGAAGTAGATGCTATGCTGAATATTTCAATGGTCAAGTTTAAGTGCATGCTTTACGTGCTTGGGTGGAATCCCACATGGGATAGGAGTCGTTACTATCATAGTTACTATTCATGTTGTTATTTAGTATCGTCATTTCCTAGTGTGTAGCTATTTGTTAGCAGTAGTTATTTCCCATTATTTGTATTTTGCCAAATATATGTATCAGTTTTAATAAAAAAAGGCAGATTTTGCTTCGGCCAAACTATTCTTCTGAAGTTCATCCTCTTCTTTCTGGTGAGTACATCTCTGAGGATTCACCAGTTTCAGCATTTTCTTTTTAATTCCCAGAATTTAGGAGTGCTAGTTGTCTCTGGAACAGGCAAAGAGAACTTGTTCAGACTGGCCGGCTTTGGTTCAAGTTCCTCCAAAATAGGACCTGGAGTCTGTACTACTGGCTCGTAGCCGTTTAAAACTTTAAATTGGCTAAGGATCTGCATGTTCATTTTTATGCAACCTTTCAAATTCAACTAGGCTTTAAGGATCCCTCTTCATATCTGTTTGGCCCTACCCCGTACCCCCACCCTTACACCCTACCCTCACGACTTTACCCTCTACCCCTACTCCTCTACAACCCTCATAACCCTACCCTACTCGTAAGGGTGGGTCGGGGTCGGAGTGGAGTCGAGGTAGGGTGAATATAATAATAGTTAATACATCTACAGGGCTACCGTAAGAAACAATTGAATTGACAATATGAATACAAAGTTTTGATATAAATTCATCGAGAATTTGATTTAATGGCAAAATATGGATGCGCTAAGAGCATCCACATTCCACAATGCTAATGTTTTTTGACCTTCTTCTCTCTCTTCCACATCATTTTCCACAAAACATTCAATCCCCTTTAACGTATCACATTTTCTTCTCAATATGGTGACCCAAATCACTTAACATTTGTGCACTCTCTCCCAATTTTTAGAATATTCCACCATTATTAATTTGAAAAAAGAAATATAAAATCTACATTTGGCCCATTATAATTATTTATTGATGGCATTGTATCTAGGTAGAGAACGAGTTGGATCCATTTTCAGAGCATAAATATTCTAAATAGATCAAATAATATGCGAGACAAATAAGTAGTAAATTTCGAAGTGACTAAATATATCCTGCATTGATGTCTATTTATAGAGATAAAAAAATCTATTTTTTGGTATAACTTTTTTTAAAATAAATTAAATTTAATGAATAATAAATGAAATCAGAGAGTTGGAGGATATGTGATGAGGTTGGTGGATATCTTGATGGGGAAGAGAAGCCATCCGTTCTCGTGATAATCTTTATTCTAAATAAAAAACCACATGATCATCTATAATTGGTTAGTCACAATTTTTTTTTGTTAATCTCATTCTTAAGCTCCCATTTTGATCATCATTGACCTTTCATAGTGGGGACTAAGTGAGATCAATTTTATTTTTTGATTCCCAACCACGCAGTCGATTGTGAGTGAGATTTGAGAACAATTCGTAGCTTTGTGCCAATGATTATACGGAGTAGTTTGGTTGAAGCTCTTTCTTGGAAGTCAGTTTTGGTATAGCCCTTTCCATACGGCTAACCATTTACCCCATACCAACCTTGTGTTCACCTACTCCCTTTTCAACGGTTCAACCATTTGCAATTTCTTCCGCGCGTAAATAAGCATATTGATGGAATGCTACGTAATCTATCGTAGGGGTGGGATTTTGGAACCAGGAACCGTAGAACCGATTGGAATCGAACCGTAAACAACATCTAAGAACCGAACCGTTAACAATTAATGTCTCATTTGTAGGAACCGAACCGAAGTGAGTTATAACGGTTCGGTTCCCGGTTCCTATAAAAAATATGTGCATAGAACCGTTAAGGAACCGTTATTAAAAAAATAAAAAATAAAATAATATTAGTAGTAGTAGTAACAATAATAATAATAATAGCAATAATAACCACCACCACAACAACAATAATAAAACAATATAAGATATTTAACTAACAATTCTAATTTAATCAACGGAAAAGAAGTAATAAATATTGTACATGAGGTTGATATAATACATTAAACTCCTTTCTACAAATCAAGTTTTGTTCCATCACATAAATTTAATAAATATAAAATAACCCAAATAACTTGTAGTTGATTGCACATATTTTACTTTACTATTTTCATGATATTTCTAATTATTAGATTTATTATGAATCAATAGAATGTAATAATGTTTTTTATATCTATAAATGCAAACTCAATGTCTTTTTTTTATGTTTTGAAAGACTTGAAGTAGGTGTCCTATTCTTGCTACTATGATGACGAGTAACCTTCATCGCTCCGACACTACAACGACTTTTTATGTTTCATTTATTACATGAAATTTAAATCACTTTTGTTCTATTAAGTGTTCAAAGTTCATTAGTTAAGTTTGAGATTTGATGTTTGAAGTGATTAGAGCTTCAAATAAAATTTTAATACTCGTGTTTTGAATTTTCGACGTGTTTATGTTGTTTGTAGAAAGTAAATTATGCGTTAATTCTTAGACGAGAAAAAATTATTCTAGGAACCGGTAAAAGGAAGAACCGAACCGTTTACTATCGGTTCGGTTCCATAACGGTTCTTGATTTTTAATATAGGAACCGAACCGATTTCATTAGTTAAAACTTTTATAACGGTTCCACTCATTTTGAGTAAGAACCGAACCGGTCCCAGCCCTAATCTATCGTCGTTTCAAATTAGTCGAAATATCCTTGGGAAATGTTAGGGGTTTGAAGGGAAGGGAGGAGAATCTTTCAAATTAGTCATCATTGAAAAGGAGGAAGAAGGGAAGTCAAGAAAATCATTCTTCTTGTTTGTGTTTGAGAGTGTTATTATAAATTGAAAAGAAATGGATTATAGAAGAATTAGAATTAAAATAACTTCAAATATATGAAGAACTCAAATAGTTAAATTGATATTCATATTAAATTGAACTAAAATTTCTTCCAAATATCTCGATTTCAAGGAACAAAAAACGGACCATTTGAAGATCTTTAAAAAAGTCATAAAAAGTTAAGAACTCTCTAGAATCATTCTTTTTAATACGTAGTATTATTAACTCCAAGCAAGAAAGATGAGGTCTAGACCCTTCTAATACTTCCTTCCCTTTCAAAATATAACTCAAAACATAACCTTAAGAAGTCCGTACACAATATACAAAATATATATTCCGCTCTTTTAAATATCTTAATGGTTTAGTCTTTATGTGGTTAGTTTATGCAATAAACATTTGTCATATTTAAATGGAATACTTGTTCTAGTTGTATGTTCTTTTTCCAGTCATAGTTTAGCTGTCACGCCCCGGACCGCATCCGGGCCACGTAGACAACCGCCGCACAACCCAATAAGAACAAAGTAGTTCATCCTTATTAAATCATACAAGGCGTCCGTTAAGTTCTATTGCCAAACCGATTAGTAAACCCATACAATCAACATCAATATATATTAGTCAAACAAATGCGGAAAATAGGATATGTTTGATACTTAGCCACACGTTGCAAATACGGGCACGCAGGCCCCCAAATGTTTTAATAGAAAACATTGTTAAAAATATCCATGACCAGTTTATCAGTTTTGAAGAAGAATGGAAGCACGAACCACGTCTTCCTCCTCGATCAATCACCCTAGGCAAAGGTGCAGGTAGTAGGACTCTAGCCTTAACCTGAAAAAATGTGAGGGCCCCCGAAGGGGTCAGTACTCCATAGAAGTACTAGTGACAAGCAGACTATATGAGGAATAACTAATGTTTCAGACACGAGACCCAAAAATAGGGTGATAAATATAAGTATAAGTGTAACCATTGTTACCCCACTCACAAGATGATACTTACTGTATATACTTGTAAATACTTGACCCGTAGGTCATTTCCATTTAAAAGAGTCTTTTAGGGATAAGGTAATTACCCAACCTTTACCATTCAATCCCGAGTTTCAGGAGTGTTTACCCTCCCGGGGATGCTCAACCCCAACCGAGTTTTAGGATCATTTACCGTCCTGAGGATACTCAACCTCAACCGAGTTTTAGGATCATTTACCGTCCTGAGGATGCTCAACCTCAACCGAGTTTACTGTCCTGAGGATACTCAACCTCAACCGAGTTTTAGGATTGTTTACCGTCCTGAGGATACTCAAGCTCAACCGAGTTTTAGGATCATTTACCGTCTTGAGGATACTCAACCTCAACCTTAATCCTCACCAACCCTAACCTGGATATGGCTAACCTTGTATTCACTTAACTATGGACAATACCTAGTCCTATAGTCATATAATAATCCCTAGTGACCAACGTGGGCGGGTCCCACTTGAACGGCCCACGTTAACCTGCTCAAAACTGTCTGTTTTGAGCATAACCCAACACCTGGTCGGGTATCCAATCTTACCCGGTCGGGTAGGGCGGGGCAGTAGCCCCTGGAACCAACTTTACTTGAGACCCGGTCGGGTCCATACCCATACCCGGTCGGGTCTAGTGTGGCAGTGGCTTCTGGAGCCATTTTTAATCAATACCCGGTCGGGTATTTACCCATACCCGGTCGGGTATCACCCTTGTCTCGGCGGTCAACGCCCGTTTGACCGCCCAAACGAAGTCCGATTAACGTGAAATTTTATACACATGTACTTCTTGTCGTCCTTGATCCAAAAATACCATTTTGGATCCCTGGAACATCGTACATAATATGTTATCACATTTTAAATCATCAAACATACATAACATGCTTTTCAACTATGTTTTATGGTTAAACATGGCATAAGCAAATACTTGATTATCTTTAATCATTCCATAAAACATATTTTTGATTACTTTAGGTAATCTCATGCCTCACGCAAAAGTTATAAAGCATATAGCCGTCTTCTCACCTTAAAAAAAGTTTATGAAGTTCTAGCCTTTCTTATTGAGCTCCGGTGAAACTCCGGCGACAACTCCGGCGACCATTTCAACTCCGTGAAAGTTCTTGGAATACCTTATACAAGTTAATAACAAGGTTTTATCATCATAAAACCCATATCAACACAACTAACCTCTAAAAGGTTATTTTCCGGCAAACCCGTCCATTTTGCTCTCTAAGTCCGTTCCTGGACTTAGAACCTCCTTTCAAACCTCATTCCACACCATTCAATGTGTAGAACTATTCTAGGAGCATGAAGTATGATTAAAGAGAGGAAATGAGATTAGTGAAGTCATTACCTTATTAACCACAAGTTTTCCTCCTAACTTCCTCCTTTCTCTTCTTCTTTTT